AGTTTTAGTTCCCTTTCTCCCTTTGTAGATGTAAATGTTTATGGATTTTTAAATAGCTCCAGAACTATGCAACACTTCTAACCTTCATTAAAACCCTAGCAGTACCTCTCTGAGTCCATCCACTCTCTCCCATCCTTTTCTTCCCAGCTCCCAGACCAGGAGGTGCCTAAATGAGGTTACCAGCAGGTATTTTCAAGGATACAGGATAGAACTTTGGGCACAGTCATACTATAGAAGCACTTTTTATTAGAGTATCATTAAACATCCTGCAACAGGAAGTGTCATCATCCCTGGAAATGTGTCACACACAGCAGGGTCCCTAGCAAACAGGAAAAAAATGTGGATTTAAAGCAGAAAATTCAAGTTTCCCAGCTCTTCAGCTAAATCCCACTCTCCTGAACCCAGAAATCCGTAAATCCCAGCCGATCAGATACACAGCGCAGCAGACCACCGCCACACTGCTCCGAAACCAGCTCAGCTCTCGGAGAGGAACACTGACACGTGCAGAGCTTCTGCCTTGGAATGTGACAATGTAAAATCAGGATAGTGAATTAGGTCCAGAATTATTAGCTTCACAGAGCCTCAAATCAATATCTGTCCTGGTTCAGCGATGTGTTTTGGACATTAATAACTCAGGATCTGCGAACTCAGCCCCAACAGCCCCACCCGGCCGGCATCCTTGGAGGGGCGGGGCGGGGCCGCCATGTTGAGTGCGGCGGGGCGGGGGCCGCCATGTTGAGTGCGGCGAGCCGAAGGGAGAGCACATACAGAAACGCCTGGAAACACGTTAATTGTTCAAACAAGAGCCCTCACCTTCGAGCTCCGGGGATGTGGGAGGCTGGGATGGCGCTGCCCAGTGATAGTACCCTCACATCAGATGCTGCCGTGAGGCTTTGGGTGCTCTGTGGGGCACAGACCCCACCTGTGGGGTCCCACCCCATTGGGGGAAACCCAGTGAAGGGTGGGCTGCAGCTGCCACTGCACAATGAGTGTCCTCTATGCAAGGAACCTGTCACCTCGCAGTTCCCTTTGGTGGTCACCTGAGAAAAGAAGACGACAAATCAAGAACAGGGAAGCCCACCGCCATCCACACCACGGCACGGTGCCAGCACGGCTCTGGCACAGCTCCATCACGGCATCTGTGGCGCCTGCTGGTTTCCCATCGCTGGGGCAGCCTAGAGCGGAGAGCCTGTCATCCCCCATGACAGAGACCCCTGCACCCACCTCATCTGGCCCCTTCCAGCACAGCCTGCAGTGATTTCTTCAGAGCTGCATTGCTCTGATCCAGGGCTGCAGCCAGACTGCTCCGGTGAGTTGGGGTGACCTGAGATCAAGAGAGTATGAGCTTGGAGCACTGCCCTGCCAGGAGCCCACCTGAGACCACTGGACCAGGTCTCAGGCCAGCTGCAGCCCTGGCTGCCAGCTCACCAGCCCATCTGCAGGACCTGAGCCTGGTCTCGCTCACCTGGCTCTGGTACATGGTAAGCATGGCCGTCACCAGCTTGGCATAGTCAAGCGATGTGGCAAAGGCTGAGGCCTGCCGGCACAGCGTCAGGACCAGGAGATCCAAGAGCTCCGGGGGCAGCACCTCCTGGAAGAAACCCAGGAGTGGGTAGGAGAACTAGTCCTTGCTCCAGCACTGCTGGAGTCAGCAAGGAAACCTGGGGGACAAGGGGCCTCTCTCACCTGCCGCCCCAGCACGGCCTGCACTACCGGCAGGAGCTTCTCTGACAAAGGCATCTCCAAGACTTGGCTAAAAGTACAGTGAAGAGGAGACGTGCTGCTTCACGGCCTTGCTGGTGCTCCCGAGTGGCTGGAGGCAGCTGACCCATCCAGGCAGGCATGAGGCCAAAGCAGCACTGTTGACCCTGTAATCCCTTACCTTAGCACCAGCTGCACACAGTGTGGCTCCAGGCACTCCTCCACAAGCTCACACACCAGCTTGGTCTGCTCAGCACCTGCAAGGGCAAGTCAGATGGGGAGAGCCTCCAAAGGCTGCCAAATCCATAGGGATGTGCCCAGCTCTTCCTAGCAGCCCTTCACACAGGCCTATGTGTCAGTCAGGACATGCAAAAACAACATAGTGCCCCGTTCTATTGTTCAGGATAATCCTGCTTCCTTTGCCCACCTGCACTCAGGGTTTAAATAGCACCAGTCCCTAGGAAAAGGGGTTCACACATGAGGAGGGGCATTCAGCCAGCAGTTGGGAAAACTGATGCTGGAAGCTAGCTTGGCCTCCCCTCCCTCTCCATCTCAGGCATCTGTAAAGCCATCTCCCATTCTAACGCAAGTGATTGCTTGCCCAGGTAAAACCAGCCCTATGTCTCCATGGATCCTAACACATGTTCCACGTGACAAATGCCTCCCAGAAGACAGCACTTTGCAGTTGGGGCCCTTCTCCAGCTCCCACAGCCATGTGTCCCACAAGCCCACCTCACCTTCCCCTGGCTCCTGCAGGACCGCAGCCACCAGCACATGGCAGAAGGGCTGGGAATACTTGGAGCAAAATGAAGCGAGGGCAGCCATGAGGTGTCGGGAAGGTGGCTGGGTAAGGGACAGGACCTAGGGACAGAAAAGGCAGGAGGTGGGGATGGTGGAGAAGGGAAACAGGGAGCAGGAAACTTCTGCTGCCCTTGCACGTACTCGCCTGAGGAAGAGCTGCTCTGCCAGGATGGCCGCGCTGGTGTAGCTGAGGTCAGGGGTGAGAGCCAGCAGCCACCTGCAGAAACGCCCCAGGAAGGGCTCTGGGCACACAGACAGCTGGAGGAAGGAGCACAGTCCTTCAAGCTGGGGATGGCAGAGAGGATGGGATGTTAGGGATGGCAGCAGGCCCTCCGCAATACTGGTGGCTGCAGCAGGGATGCTGAGACTCACCTGGCTGGGGGAGCAATTGTTCAGGATGCACAGCTCAGGCGGGATGCTCAGCTCGGAGTGCTGGAGGGAAAACAGTCCTAAGTAATGCACCAAATAAATCAACACACAATATATGGCTCTAAGGATTTTCCCTTCCCCTCACGTCAGCCAGCGCTGTGCCCACAGGCTGCCCCTCACACAGCAACCCCTGCAAAGTGCAGGCACGTATCGGTATCCCAGCCCAGAGGAGGTGGCAGTAGGGCTTTCTATCCTTGTCCAGTCAGTCCCATGAAACCCACCTCCTTTCTCAACCCTTTTGAGGCCCTGGCATGAGCCCATTTAGACCACTGGCTCCGGGAGACAGACAGAAGCAACCACTTACGCTGGACTCCTGCAGCAGCAGCATTTTCAGCTTCTGTCCATGCATCTGAGGGAAATGAGATGAAGGAAGGGGAATCAGGCTGTAAAGGCTCACTGTCTGGAAGGGGAGAGCAAACCCTACCCAGTACCTGGAGAAAGGACTGGGCCTCTGCTGCCAGCTCTGTTTCGGGACTCTTCCTGAGCTCCCCAACTGCATCCTGCTGGGAGCTGTCTGGAGCAGCCCCATCTGTGCTCTCAGCACATGTATCCACTGAAGGCTCCTCAGGCACCTCCTCTTCTATCCCTGTCACATCCCCACATTCCTGGGGTCCCAGAGGGTCAAACGCCACCTCCTCCAGCAGCAACCTCTTCCTCTCTCTGTCACTGACCAACTCCGCTCCCTCCTCCAACACTTTCTTGCGCTTTCCACCTTGAGGCACGGAGTCAGCCACATCTTCAGTGGCACCAGGCTGCTTCCTAAAGCACCAGTTCAATTTCCTTTGCCCCTCTGGTTTGTTCTGGGCAATTTTCTGGCACAGGCACCTAAGCTGCTGCTGGCATGTAGAAGAGAGTGGAGTGGGAGATGGGAAGCGCTCTTCTGTTCTTGGTCCCTGCCGGAGCAGATCCCCCAGCGTCCGCATCCAGGGATCCACATGGGAATCCTGTTCCATGGCCTGGAGCAGCTGGCCAAGGCAGCCCCCTGGTACTGCATCCCGCATCACGAGGAGCAGGGAGAAGAAGTTTCTCTGGCACATGATGGGCAGAAGCAGCAGCCGTGGCTTGCTGGGTAAGGGGAGAAAAGGAAAGGCAACTTGTCACAGCAAACCTCTTCGTCCTGACTCCAAGCTGCCCTGTGGGTCTCACTATGGAGCAAGAGAAGGCAGCAGCTAACGCCTTTATCAGCTTTTGCAGACACAAGCTGGGAGACCAGCTGGCCGCTGCTACGATCCCAGCTTCAGGCATGGACCGCTGCACTGGGGTAAGTGGACACGCGGTCCCAAATTAGGTACCTGACACACCAAACATCCCACAAACCACCAAGTTTAAGAAACGCATCTGACTCACACAGCCAGGACGCCCTGTGGCTCCTCCAGCACGGGCTCCTCGGCGCACAGGGCTGCAGTGAGGGCCTGCCAGGGGAACGCCTGTCCCGGTCCCTCGCGGGGCTGGTCCCGCTGCAGCATCCGGAGGGCGGCGAGTGCCCCGGCGGGGCCGGAGGCCAGTGCGTGGAGCAGGAGGCGGCACGGCCGGGCAAAGCTCTGCAGCCAGGGCGGGCAGCGGGGCTCCATCGCTGCTGCGGGGGCTCCACAGCCGCCTGCGAGACACGGGGGAGAGCCGGGCACGGGTCACACGGGGAGAGGCGCGGGAGCATCAGGACCCGGCCAGCCATGCTCGGAGCCGACCCCGGCGCCAGTTTCGGGGACTGCCCTTACCTGCCCTTCTCGAGGATGCGGGAGCGTCACTGGGGTCGCACCGGGAGCCCCTCGGAGCCCTCCAACACCCCTTCCCCGGCAGCTCCCCCATCCCCGGCTCAATCCCCGCTGCCCTCCCGGGGGAGCTCCCCCCGCCCCCTGTGCACTGCCCCCGTCACTGCCGTGCCCCGGGCACAGCCGGGGCAGCCCCGACACTCACGGGGGGCCCCGCCGGGCTCCACCCGCTGCCCCGGGCCCGGACGCGCCGCTTCCGGCCCCGCCCCGGGAAACGCTGATCAAGGGCGCGCAACCGAGTCATTATGCAAATATCCCCTAATCCCAAAAAGCGCCCCGCCCCCTGGGGGTGGAGCCAGGCCCCGGACAGGGACCCCCGGTACCGTGATGTTACGTACGTGTTTTATTTCGTAATTCCCGGATTTGGCTAAAACCAGTTTAAAACAGTGCCCGCCCCGGCCCGTGGGCCTTAAATCCCCACGTTAAACCCCCAGCACCCAGCCCAGCCCCCCACCCGGCACCCGCGGGTCTCCCATTGAGGGGGCGAGGGCAAGAGCATGGGGACTGTGCCCCACCACCCTGAGTCACTCCCGGCGCCCCGATAAATGGCAGCCAGACTGCTTCCCCATCCCACCCCCTCCCTGCAACACTGCCTATGCCCAGAGCCACTCCAAAACAATGGTGGAAGTCAAAAGCAGATGATTCCCCCTCCCAGAGATGCCACCAGCATCACCTAGGCCCAGTGTGACCCCCCACGGCTCAGTCCGAGTTGCTGAAGTCAAAGAGAAGCATCTCGTGGCCATAACTTGAGTAGTGAAATTCCATCTCCAGCACAGTCAGGGTGAGAGCCCACTCGAGCATGCAGAGCTCCTCATCCTCCTCACCAGAGCTCTCCAAGGAAGAAGGGTTGAACTCCTGCAGCACAGGAGGGAGGATGAGCCCCGGTCTCCCACCGCATTGCACCCAGCCCAGCCCCATGACTTGCCACCCCACTTACAGTGGGCATCCTCAGCCGCTGCTGTCCGCGCCGTGGCAGCCAGCTGGTGGGCAGCTCGTGCAGGTAGATGCAGTCAGACCTGAATGGGCAGTGGCCACGGTTTTGAACAAAGAATTTACATCTGATTTTCCTGCGGGATTCCAAGCACAGTTGTGAGTGTGGCTCCCGGGGCAGCACAGAGCCCACAGCCCTGCCACCTGCCGTTCCATGCACTCACCCCGTCCGCGCCTTGAAGGTTCTGATGAGCTTCTCCTTCTCACCCACATCCGAGATCCAGTATTTGTGGGGAATATAGTAACTGGAAGTGATCCGGCACTCTGGGCAGGCCCTGGATGAAGGCAATGGGTGCAGATGGGTGTCCCAAAAAGGGAACAGGCAGCAGGGGCTCAGCACCCATGCAGGGTGGTCCTGCTGACATGGCCTCATCCAGTATCCCCATCCCTACTCCCACTGATGTGTTCCCAAAGAAAAGTCGTGCCAATGCAAAGTCACATCACCAGACCTAAGGAAGGATTTCAGGGTGCAGAAGGGGTGATGGTGACCACTCTCCATTGTCCCCATCCCCACTCACTTTATGACTGTGCTCTGGAAGTCCCGGCTGCGACGCCACTTGCGGATGCATCCCACGCAGTACGCATGGCTGCAGTTCGGGAGGATCCCAAAGAGCCGCTCTTTCGGCAGCGGCTTCTCGTACACCCTGTCCATGCAGATGCCACACACCACGGCCTCACTCTGGGCTCTCAGTGCCTCGGTGGGGACTGGGGCTGCCGCAGCACCCAGATCCATAGAGACCTGCACGCAGAGAAGCAAAGCATGGCAACCCCCCAGCTCCATCAATGCCCTGGCCTTGGGGAGTGCCCGGCCACAGGACACCCCCAAACCCACCTCTGCAGGGTCAGTCCCCGTCACCATCTCCAGCACTGTCTCTCTGGGGTCAGAGGAGTCTGCATCCAGTGCCAGCCCTTGTAGCTGGGCGCCTGCAGGAGGAAAGCTCTTAGAGGGGAAAAGTACATCCCACCCCACCATCAGAGAGCCAGGCAGGCTGCTTAGAGCATGCAGCCTCAGCAGTGACAGTCCCCTGGAGACCTCTCCACAGCCCCAGCTTGGCCAAGGTTTGGGGCACGGGCAGAAACATGCTCAGACTGCTCCACCGTGACCACTCCAGTATCCTCAGCCCCACTGGTCCCCTGGGCAGCCTAGCACCTACCTGAGGCACGCTGAGCATGTGTGGGGACAAATTCTCCACTGATGTTATCAGGTGCTGTGACGTTCTTCTTGTCTTTCTCTTCCACCTCAACCTCCATGTTTGGGAACTTGAAGGCCACATGTGTCGTGCTGGGGGCAGGGTAGTCCGAGGTGCGCTGGGGTCCCACCCAGCCCTGGGCCGTGCCCATGGGCACAGTGCCAGGCTCTGGGCCCCAGTGGCAGGGGGGCATGGAGGGATCCAGGCCATGGCGGGATGGCACCAGCTCCTCCTGGATGTGCTGGTAGCTGTAGGAGCCCAGAGACAAACAGACAGAGAGTCTCATCAGCCCAGCATGACTCCTCTTGGCTCCCAGCCCATCCTTGGGGCATCAGACTCCTGCTCGCTGCCCCTTACCTGCACTGCTCTCCGTAGCTGCAAAACCCACTCTGGAAATACCTGCAGATCTGAGCTGAGTTTCTGTCATGTAAGAAGCGGCAGCTCTGGCCCCATCGACAGGATCCACGGGCAAAATTCCTGTTGGCCAGAGGAGCCGCATGGTTGGGGTCAGACCCCACTCCAACCTTGCTCCACCAGCCACCCTGACACCCCTCCGGGTACCAGCTTTGTCTGGGTGGGGCCATAACTTGCAAAAGCCCCACCTGGTGTCTGGGCTCAGGAGCCCCTACCAAGGGCAGAGCCCGGGGGGAGCCAATGCTCTCCCAGCCCCGTCCAGCCTTCTCTCCTGGTTAATTGCAAAGCAAAATAAAGCTTAGGACTGGGCTGGCCTGGGGGCTCTCCTCAGGGCAAGCCAGGGGTCTTGAGGGCTGGGGCAGCCCCTGGCTTCCTGTGGAGCCATGGAGAGCGCAAGGAGTCCTTGGTTTGCAGCTGACGGGAAGGAGGTGCCTGGCTGGAGTGTTTCTGGGGACCCCCAGCTCCGGAGGTGGGGCAGCTGTGTGGGGAAATGGGTGGGGGGTGGGTCAAGGCCATCCCAATCCACTCTTTGTCCCCACAGGGAGGGACTCGTGGCCCCATCTCAAGCCTATCTCCCCCAAAAGCTGCTCCCAGCGCTCCCGACCCCAAGCCTTTTACCTGCACAGGGGTCTCAGACAGCTCTCCCTGGCCGTTAACGTCCAAGATGCCACCGTCGAGCCCGGCTCCATCTGTTCCCCGGCAGCCAAGAGGGCTCAGCTACTTCCCGGGGCTGTTTATGGCCTCAGGTGTGTCGTAGGTCCGGCTGGGATAATTCTCCCCTCGGAGTGGGGGCCGTGCTGCGATTTGGACGGAAGACAAGCCCAGGCTGATAGCACTCGGGAGTGTGAGCATTGTTTACTTTAAGTCAAGGACTCTCCAGCTCCTCTTGCTCCTGAAGTGAGAAGCCTGGCGGGGGTCACCACTCCAGTGTGCATCACTAAATTCTGTATATTCTAATTCTTTTATCATTACTATTTCCTTTTTGTTTCAGTCATATTAAACTATCTTTATCTCAACCTATAAATTTCACTTTTTTCTCAGTTCTCTCCCCCATCTCACTGGGAAGGGAGGCAGTGAACAGCTCGGTGATGTTTTGCTGCCAGGTGGGTTAAACCATACAAGGTCCTGGATCACATGCCCAGCAGCACCACAGCTCCTTGTATCCCCAGGCGCATGGGAGAGGTGGGGGACAATGGAATAGGTTCTCCCAGGGGCACTCAAACTGGGGAGAGGGAAGTCTGAGGGTCTGCGGCTGCTATCTGCAAACTCTTGGGTGTTCAGACACAGCCAAGGGCAGAGCCCAGAGCCAGAATGTGGCCCAGCTGCCCCAGAGCCCATCCTTGCCCATCTTGGGGTGGTTTTGGCTGGGCTGAGCTCATTGCCCAGCTCCACCTGCAAGCATTTGAGGCAGGAAGCGCCCAGCTCTGAGACTGGGACCCTGTTCAGAAATGGCTCTTTCTGCTGCCTTTAGTTTGCAGGCAGGAAAACCACAGGAGCTATGAGATCTGGGAATAATGGAGACTTAGGAATCATGGCAAATTCCTGGAAATCACAACAGATCCAGCAAATCCCATCACCTCTGCTGGAAACCCTCCCATGGGCAGCCCCCCAGGTGCCAAGAGAAATCCCACAAAGATAGGCTGGACACTAAAAGGTTCTTAAATATTTAATTCAGATTTATTTAAAGTCAAGTCAGTTTGTGGACACTATTTATATTATTAAAAACACTTGGAGGTTTGTACTTCTAGCAAAAATATACATTTCAGTTTGAGGGTTGTTATACTGTTGAGGAAGGAAGAGCAAAAAGTTCCCCAGGTGATGGGCACAAGTCCTGCATGTGGCTGTGGTGGGGATGCCACCAGGGCTTTGGGATGGGCAAATCCCCTGGGCTCCATCCAGCACACGCATATCTCCAGTGCCTTCCCGGAGAGGGCTTCAAAGTGCTTCAGAAATGGTAACTCCTAACGCCCCTGCAAGGTAGGGAAGGGAGGGGCTGGGCAGGGAAACTGAGGCACAGCAAAGGGCTGGAGTGCGGCAGCAGGGGCAGGTTTGGCCATCGCCAGCCCTGTGACGGGGTGGGGAAGCCCAGTGCTCTTCCCCTTTGGGTTTTTTAAAGGAATTATTGCACCAGGGAAATCTGCTACCCTGAAGACGAGGAAAGTAAAATAAACCCGACTAATTTGCTCCCACAACCCCTCCTTGGGGATTTCAGTATTTTAATAAGGCTGCTCAGGACACACAGGACCAGGAGCTGCAGACAGATAAGTGCTACTTCTTAGGTCAGACACCATCATCCTGAGAGGGAAACTGAGCCCTTCCCAGGTCCATCCTCTCCCCTCGAGCTCAGGTGATGCAGCCCTTCACACTGGAGGCTTAGCCCCGCCCAGCCCAGGCAGCACTATGGCGTTTCACTACAGCTGCGAGAAGTTATGAGGTAAAGTCCCAAAACGGTGCTGGGTTTAGGCAGACCCTGAAGCCTCGAGCTGTCCCAGCTCTCAGGACAGTGGCAGAGGAGGACTGGCAGCTTCCCCGACCTGGCTGTGCTCTCTGGGAAGCTCCTGCCCATTGTGAGCATCCTACCCGCTCCCTCCCAGTTTATAAATCCTTGGCATTTATACTGGGGTTTACAGCTGTAAAGCTCTTTGCAACCAATGCACTAAAGGATCCTTTTGCTCCCCCTCGAAGCAGAGAGCCGGTGACAATCCAGGTCCCTTTCACAGGGCAAACTGAGACAGGACACCAAACCCTGACCAGCCCAAAGCCCCTGACCCAGCCCCCTGACCTTTTTGGTAACTCACAGCTGTGCAGAACAGCCTGTGGAAGCCACAAATTCCAGCCTCTGCTGTGAAGGTGAATTTTAACGATATCCTTTCCCTCCCACCTCCCCATCCCTCCTCTCATACTGAGGTGCCAAGGAACACATTCCCTCTGGAATCAGGGTGCCAGGAGCACAGGTTCCCACACAGCACTCAGGAAGGCAGAGCTCGCACAGTCCCTCTGGGAGACAGGAACACACTGCACAGCACAGGGGGCTGCTGCTGAGGGTCCCTGCTAGGACAGCCCTACCCGTGTTCAAATACTCTGGCTTTTCTTTGGGAAAGAGAGAAACATCCTTTCACATCACAACTGTCCCAGACTTCACGGCTCAGGACTATGTCTTCGGAGTGCAAACAAACAAGAAAATACAGACATGCTGTAAGTGCTGCTGCTGGTCCCACCGGACCCCTGCACCTCGCTCGGGTCTCCTAAGGACCAAAGCTCCTCCCACCTTGGGGACCTGGGGTGCTGTAAGAACCCCACTGCCTGTGCCATGTAAACCGGGCGGCTGCTCCAGAGGCCCCGGAGCAGCTGGAGCTGGGCTGCAGTAACGGAAACAGCAGCTGTGGAGATTTGTTAGTGTGTGTTAACGGAAGCCCTGGCCGAGCGGGAGGCAGCTGCAAATCGTGACAGCATCTTGCCCTACGTACCGTATGTCAGGGTCACGTAGAAAAGAGTTTCCAGTAGAAGAAATGGAAGACACAGGGAAGGGTTTTCTTTGTTTCTGTACAAAGAGTCTTGATGGGAATCCATGGCTTCATTCTCATAAATAACAGGTCCTTAGTACATGTCCTTGTAGATCTCCTGCAGAAGTGGGTGCAGAGATGTCTCTGTCTCTGTCTTCTTGATCTTCTGCACCAGCTGGGCATGCTCTGTCACCAGCTGCCGCAGATCTGCCATCTTCTGCAGCAGCTTGGGGAAGAGGTACTGGGCATCCGGGTGGTTGGCCTGTAGGTGAAACTCCAGCACTCGCAGGATGTTGTCTTGGATCTCCTCCACCTGCTTCACGTTCATCAGGCCAGGACGGTCTGTGGAGAGGAAGCACAGTAGCTGCAAGGTCATGGGGCAGCCCTCCAAAGCACATGCTCCTCCTGAGGAAAGGAAGCTGGGGACTGTATCCCACCCACTGTGACTCCAACCTCATCAGCTAGAAAGGGGAGAAGTGCTGCCCACAGCAGCACATGAGAAGGAGATGCCACTTCTACACTCCTTGCTCTTGGTCCAAGCTTGCCAGGCATCACTGCCACAGACCAGCTTTGGGTTTGGAAGTGTTCAGTTCTCCTCTTCTGCCCCTGACACACCCCTGGCTGACCCCAGGGCCAGCTGCAGCTCAGCTCCCCCAGCCCCCTCTGACCCACCTCTAAGTAAGGAGGACTCTTCCTGACTCTGGCATGGCCGAGGGCACCCGCTCACCTCCACACAGGATGATGGCTGCCACAAACAGGGACAGGTCACTGTCATCCAGCTCCAGCGCATTGAACTTCACAGCAAACTCAAATTTGGGCTCCATAATCTCACTGAAGGGCTTGCGCAGGCTACGCAGGAACTCACGGGTCACGAAGCCATTCCCGTTGGCCACCAGCAGCCCATCCTTGTTCATGATGGATGCCAGCATGGCGAAGATGGCCTCGTGCACCCCGTACTTGAGCAGAGTCACTTGGTCGTTCAAGTAGAGGCCTATGAAGCTGGGGATGCTCTTGGCAAACTCTGTGAGCTCCCGCACAGTCTCCACCGTGGTGCACTGGCAGCGGTAGAAGACGTGCACCCCAATCTCCTTGTAGGGGGGAATGCCATTCACCAGCTGCTTCCACACCAGTCCCTTCTCTGCCTGCCACAAGGTGTCCATGTCATGGATCACAAAAGGCTGCTTGAACAAGAAGCAAGTTAGGAGTCTGCTGTGGGGACTCGAGGTGCCAGCTCTGCCCAGGACACTCATGTTTGCCTGCCTGTCCCTGTGCTGTTCCCTGCCTCTGGGACTGACAATGCTCAGGCAACCTGCACCCACCACCACAGCATAAATCTGCACAGCAATGGGACTTTTCCTAGCGAGGGGCAGGACATGCAGGGCCCATCTAGCTGCAGGTGGGAACTGGTGCATGTGAAACAGCTATGGCAGGAGGGAGATGTGCAGCATCTCCCAGAGAACAGCCCTCTGTGCTGGCCATGGCCAACCCCGCCTGCCCTGGGAGGGAACTTACTGGGGTGCTGCTGGCTTTCCCGGTCAGGATACCTCTTGCCTTCTTTTTGGTCATGTTGAAATTCTTCAGGTAGGCATTGTAGATGTGCTTGGAGAAAGCTTTCAGGTCAGCCACCTGCGGGTTCTGGCAGCTGATCTCGCTCGCTGTCAGCCCTGCCACCAGCTTTCTCTTCTCTGCCTCTGGCATGCGCCCGAAGCGGATTGCTGGGGGGGTAAAACCAGTGGGTCAAGACAGGGGGATGACTCCAGGAGATGCATCCAGAGAGGTAGCAGGTTGTTCTGCCACCGCAGACGGACAGGTCTGCTGGTGAACCCCTGCACAACACAATGCTTCTCCAGGATGCAGCTCCTGCAGCACTGGCACCTTCATGAACCAGCCACTGTTGCTTCCCTCACACCAGACTCCCATCCCAGTCCTCTGGGCTCTTGCACAAACCCACATAAACACCTTTGCTTGGTCATGACCTAGATGGTTACACGAGAAGTTTTAAAATCCTGGCACAGAAGAGCAATCTGTGTGTCCAATTCCCTCTGGGCCAGTTCATAAGGCACAGCCATGTACCAGCAGCTGTCCTGCATGGTGGGAATGAACAGCCCCTTCTCGTATAGAAGACAGGGATGAAGAGTCAAAAGCTTGAAACATTGTGTTTGAATGATCCTTTGGCAAGGAGAACCACGGGCTAAAGCACAGCCTGCCATATGCACCTTTCATAGGACGGCAGCTGGCCCCGTGTCACCCAGCCAGTCAGGCCTGTGGTCAGCAGTGACACTCACCATTGTGTGACATGCCCAGGGAGAGGCATTTCTGGAAGCGGCAGTACTGGCACTTGTTTCGGTTCTTCTTCTGAATCTTGCAGCTCCTCTCACACTTCTCGTACTCCAGCTTCATGCGGATTGTCCGGCGGAAGAAACCCTGTAGGCAGGGAGCAGGGGGACATGGAGCAGCAGTGTTAAGGCCTGTGGTTTGGGACC